ATAAAGTATAGTCTCTCATATTTGTAATGCAATTTGTTCAATAAAATTACTTATTTAGTTCTTCTTATTTTATAGTGTGTGTATAAAAATAAAAATAAAATAAAAAATATATATATGCGGGGCGGATCGGGTACCCGCGGGTTTTTAATTATGTGACCCTAAACCGCCCCGCATCTTAGCGGGTACCCAACCCTCTTTTGACCCGATCCTATCTAGGGTACCCGCTAATATGCGGGGCGGGTAAGGGTCAAAGAATGGCTGACCCGCAAGGTGCGGGTCGGGTCAGCCAAATGGTGAATGGGGCGGGTACCCGACCCGCGCCCACCCCTACCAATTTGGATGGAAAATATTTTTACAAATAGCTCATTTAGTCCTTTCACTTTTTATGCAAAGTGGTTTTAGTCCATGATGTTTTAATCACATTTAGTCATTTTACTTTTTCTCTTACACAAAACATAGTTCTTATTTCACTTCCTTCCATCACGAATTACACCGGTATTAAAAGGGTGTGACCAAAAATTTCAATTGTCTCTTTAAGAAAAAAAAAATCTTTACTTTCTTCTCATATTTAAATTAAATTTATTAAGCAAGAAAATGTGGGATGGAAGAAGGGGAAATTTTAACTCAATACTTCTAATTCTTGAGGTTTTGATATTAACCACTAGACAATGCCTTCAGCAAACTTTCTTCTTATTTGTTTTTGTTTTCATTTTCATATAATTTCTTCCTTTTTTTTTATTACTTTTTTCAACTATTTTCACCATTTTCCTTTTCATATAATTTATTCTTTTTCTTTAATCCCCTATCTCTTTTTTTTTTTCCATTTAATAATTTACATTTTTTTAAACACCGAAACTTCCTTAACCAGAAAACTTTTTGCACCATCAAATTATGTGGCTTTAACGGGTATGACAAGAGGTCCAACTATTCTTTCTTTTTTAAATGTCTTTAATTTTTTTCATTTCTTTTTACATAATTTCTTCCTTTTTTTTCTTTACTTTTTTCAACTTTTTTCACCATTTTCTTTTCGGTTTATCTTTCTTATAGGCCTTCAGAAAGGCAAAGTTTGTAACCTGTTAGAACGGCTTGGTTTGCTCATAAAGGTGGAATTCATGGTAAACCACGATGAGTCGATGAGATACATACTTGAGTAGGATAGCAAACGAATGGGCGACTTCCAAGTGCTTGTATATTTTCACAAATATTAGGTAAATGCTACATCCCATGTAGGTAGTTCCAATTGTTGACATATTTTGTGTTGGAGTGAGTTGTTGAGATGCAATATTCATTTAAATCTTTTGTCTAGATCCATTTTACCTTATCGCATTGTAAGTTTATAACTAGGTATTGTATCGTTGAGCTAAAACATACAGAAAATATTTCACTATTTCTGTGCTCTTTACAATTTGTTCATAACTTGATGCATTGTCTTTGGGACATGAGACGGCTGTAAATAATTTTTTGGTACGTTTTAATGAAATCAAAAACAGTTTTATACATGATTATATTTAGCTATATATTTTGGGTGTTACATGAATTTCCAATTAGACCTCTTCTGAGGATGCAATTTGCATACACTGCATTTTAGACACGAACTCTGTAGAAAAGTTGACACGAATTTTGAAACGCTTTTCTCTTGTTTTTCGAAGGGGTAAGATTTTGCAACACTTCGAATATTTGTTACAAGCGCTTGAAAGGTTTCATTGAGCAATTAAAAAATTTAAAGTATGGTACAGAGAGTTCATCCAGTCCATGGAGATGCTATTAAACTTATTTATGTACATATGAATGAACTACGCAGTGGAAATTTAAATATACTTATCTCTAACCATTGTTGTCAAGTACAAGTTGATTTCTTCTTGTGTCTTTGACTTCTTCTTATCTATTCTAACAAAATAAAATATGTAGAAGAAGGAAAATTAGAAGGAGAATTTAGAGTAATGATCTTCTAACCTATACCTAATCCAAAAGTGTACAATTGATGGAATATCAAAGACCATTTATAAGTTAGGTTAGAGACCCTTACTAGCAAACACAAAAATCTCTAGGGTTTCCTTCCATCATGGAAATCCTGCAAAAATTCATAACTGAAAATAATTTTTTCTAACTAATTGATTGAATAAGATATCAATTAATAAAGATATCAATCAATAATTAACAAATAGGAGATATTAATTAATTATTGATAAAATATCAATCAATTAATGAGGATATCAATCACCAATCATTATCTAATGGGAGATAATTAGTGATAATTGGTTATATTGACCTTTTCCTTTCCTGTCTCTTGCCTCCGTAGCATAGCACGTTGTGGACTTTTTCTTTCTTTCTAGTTTTTAGGTTTTTCGAAATCATACTAGGACTTGCATGTATAGATTGGCAGTTATAACTTCTAAATCATATTGGAGTTGTTGAAATTTAAATTTTTTTAGAAAGAGATTAGTTTAATTTTGCCATGTATTATTTATGCTATTTAATGTTGATGAAAATACGGGCGTAACCCTTGATGAATTATCCTTTATTTTGCATGGAACCAATTTGAATGTACTAATTCAATTCAAAACCAAAATTTAACCAACGCAATGATGCAAGGAGTGCATATTTACCCAATCAAAATTCATAGTAGAGTTTGATATATTTGTTTACATCATTGAATCAAATAATTAAAGTTAAAATTATAAGTTATCTTGCTAATTTGTTATGATTTATTCATCTTGAATAGACGTTGTTTTAAAGAACATTTCTTGTAAAAATGTGCTAAAGAATTAATTAATGACTATTAGAGAATTCTCATACGTATCAAATATCCATCATAATATTTACTAAACTTAGTTAATTTACATAATTAGGTAAAAAATTCAAATGAAGAGCCAAAAGTTGTTAGAAGAGAAAGAAAAATAAAAATAACTTTATTTAATAGAATTGTTGAGAGAAAAAAAATTCCAAGATTACTTAATCCTTTATTTATCATCCATGACACTTGATTTTCAATTAGTTATGTCATTTGTTTGTTTGTAATTGGGTATGGCACATATAGAGAAAAGTCAGTGATTGAAAATATTGCTATTAGAGACTTATACACTCTCCTGACTCTTCTTCAATTTTATTTTGAGAAACAATTCTTATTTTGCTCATTCAAGCTTAAAATGAATTCCTAGAGACATTTGAATCCACATAGGAGGAAAACAAATTTAACTAGTTTACAGCACCAGGAAACAAATTCTCAGTTGCATGACCAATAAACAAACAGAGCTTAAACGCATTTCCATTGCACTGTTTATTGTTTAGGATGTTGGTCAAACATGAACAGTCTAAAGACTCTAAATAATCGTTACATTGCAACTTTTTCAAATGATACCATACATAATTGTACAAGCTATTGAACTATGCAATACATATACAAACAGGATCCTTCTACATTTAATCATGATTCAATTCGGGTTAAAGAAACTAAAGACAACTCGTCATCTTAAAGACATTTTTATGTTTGCCAAGGAAGATGGTACTTTTCTCTTGCAATGAAGCAGCAAAGACTTGGTAGGTATCTTTTAACACATCCAAGTTTGAGCCTATGTTTTCATACTCAGACCGGATATCGACTCGATCGAACTCGGAGTCACGGGTCAACGGGTTTAATCGGAGTTGAACCGGATGATGTCATATATAAAAATTATTTAAAAATTAAAATATTGTATGTAAAATACCTAAGAGCATGTTAATATTAATAAAGGTATGTTCATATATATGTGTATATATATATAGATATATATATTTGATGTTTAAAATATATTTTTAAAAAATACAAAAAACTAGAAGAATCAAGTAGCAATTTATAATATTCAATGAAAATTAATAAGTTTAGAATTAAAATTATGGACTTAATTGAAAAATGATACCAAACTTTGGGACAACATTTATAAAGTACGAAATATTTAAGGTATATTAATAATTTTAAATAACCTTGGGGTCAAAACATAATATTAAAAATGCTTTGACCTTTTCAAAAAAACAAGGAAAGCTTTGACACAATCCGGTTCTTCCGGTTTCTATCAATACGATTTTGTAGGATAATTCGGACCAGACATTTTGCCATTTCCTGATTTGACTGATTGGACCGGTCGATCCAGTCCGAGTTAAAAAACATGAGCATAATTACGAGAAAATTCTTAAGCTCTTTCTGCCTCAAACAATTCACCTTCGTGAAGGTTGTTAAGATCTTTCTGCCTTTGATGCTGGTTGGCTGCCATTCCCTTGGTCTTTTCAATACAAACTAGCATAGTTCCACAGCAGTAGTAGTATTTGTAGACTGAGGAGCAAGGTCGAGTACCTTCTACTGCTTTAGGATAGAGAAAAATAAATAAATAAAACAACGCCAAAAGTTTCTCTAGCTTATAATTCCTGTCACCTAAATGAACAAATGATCGAACAACAATGTCATGCAAATATCTGAAATTTCTTGTTGGCTTCATTATATGCAAGATATGATAGGCTTTCATGGTGTTAACAATCTGACAAATAGATATTTTGGATTCTGCAAGGTTTTTTTCTTTTTTTTTTTTTTTTGTGGTTGTTGTTTTGGGTATGAGATTTTGCTGCACTTTGAATACTGTTTACAAGTGCTCCAAAGGCTTCACACTGGACAATTAGAGTATGGGATGGAGAGTCATCCAGTCCTTGGAGATGCAGGATGCATGCATTGTTTTAATCTGGAAGAGTTCACTTTTCCTGTAATAAAATTCTAAAAGTAAAGAAAAAACAAATTTGCTTCATTTATTGATTGTATCTGAGAGTACAAAATTAGGAAAAAAAAAGTAGCGATTCCACAAATTACATTTTTCCTATACCAAGGAAAATGCCAGTGCATTATTGTTCACAGGGTTAGTGTACTAACAACGGGATCCAAATAATGTATGATATAAAGTAATTAAGGAGACCAAAGTGTAAATTAAAGACCCAATGATTTATGCACCCTGAAGCTCCTTTGGAGGGTATTACCCATATTATGGGTAGTAGTGGTTATCCCACCAAAATTGTGACTGAAGATATTTGATGACATTCTTGTCAACTTGGAATGCTTTGGTGAGAACATCAGGATAAATGGGAGGATTTGATCCAAAAACAGCATTAGCAATGGTGATGACTCCTGGATTCTGGCTGCTTAGAGCAGCAAAAGCAACAGCATTGGAATGTCCCTGGTTGAACTGAAAATGAATGAGGCCTTCAGGGAACACAAACACATCTCCTGGATTCAAAACCTTGGTGAAGAGCTTGTTCTTCATGTTCATGCCTGGATTCGAAGTAACGAAGCCAACAAGAAGAGTGCCTTCTAAAACAACGAGGATCTCGGCAGCACGAGGGTGAGTGTGGGGAGGGTTCAAACCGTAAGGTGCAAAGTCGAGGCGTGCTAAAGAAACACCGAAAGTGTTGAGTCCTGGAATCTGGTTGACATTTACTGCTGTTACATTCGATCCGAGTGGATTTGATGTGCTTCCTGGCTTGTTAAGCCCTTGAAAGAAGAAATCTTCGGGTTTCACAAGCTTTGGATCTTTGCATATCTTTCCATTCACGAATACTGCAGTAACAAAGATCAGCTTAGTTAGTTTGTCACACATTATTTTGTTATATTTCAAGTATAACATGCAACAGTCGAGAAATTTTCGAAAGCAATATATATAGTTTACCGCCGGCATTGGCATCAGGAACGGCCACACAAAAGTCCTGCAATTGACTTGGATCAGATGCATGGACACTTGTAAAAACAAGTGCCAAGATGGCTGCAGCTATATGGAAGCGAAAAGCCATGGTCATCAGAAAGTAAGTATGGAACTGTATGAGCTAATCAGAAAGATGGAAGCTTGTTTCTTCTCTGGTGGTGGAAGGATATGTGGGAAAGATGTCTATTTATAGATATTTTTGGTTGAACTGTTCAGTCTGTTTCATTGTCTTAAAGGATACAAAATGCTCCTTAAGGTCTTTGTAGACTTTTTCTGCACAATTCAACTCATGAATGATTCTACAACAACTACTTGCACAGTTATCTTTTCCTCGTGCAAGTACGGTCAGACTGATTTGGTCATTTATTATATCAAGTCCATAAGGTCATGTAAACAGAGGATCAGGTGGCTCTCCGGTTGATATTCAGTTCAATCCAATCGTTGTAATTCTTACAATTTCTAGCATAAATTCATACGATTTCGATTTAGTTGCAAATATATTGTAGGACAGATTAGACTTTATCTCCTGTGATTTAGTATTTTTGTACATAATACTCCTATAATTTCAAAAACTATACGTAACCCTACCATTATTTCGATTAAAGTATCAAAATGACGAAATGATCATTTGTAACGGAACCTATGAAATGTTGAAATTACTCTTATTTAAAAATTAAAATGACTGAAGTGACGAAAATATATGAACATAATATGCATGATACACTAATTTCGTATGGTTTAATGTTTTACCATATAACCCCCTTGTGGTTTAATGCTTTTCAAAATATACACAAAATTCCCCTATGGTTAATAAATAATTTTCAACTTAATATAGGGGTATTTTTGATATTTTAGGTGACTCTGTTATCAATTACAAATTTCGTCACTTTGACACTTTAATTCAAATCATGAGAGAGTTATGTATAGTTTTTGAAACCGTATGGGGGTTATGTATAAAAACACTAACTCACAGGGAAGTAAAGTGTAATTTGCCCTATATTGTATGATATGACAAAATTCACGTTTACATTAAAATTGCAATATTTACACCAAATATTGTATGAATTACATAACATACGGCATTGAACAAAATTTCAACCTGATCTGTAAAAATATTTCCATGTTTACCGTATTAACTATTGGCCACATAAAGTTATATTTCCTGATGCACGGACTTTTGGCGCAGACGCGGTAGAAGCGAGACTCTTTCTTGAAGAAATTGCCTTTGAAAATGATTTAATTACTTTGCTTAATTAATTCATTAGTCACAACTAATAAAATGATGCATTAGTCACAACTAATCCATTTAAAATTCACAGACTCTATCCAACTTTACATAGTAGCAGATGGGATCGGCAAGAAAGAGTCAAATTTATGAAAATGATTTAATTACTTTGCTTAATTAATTCATTCTCATTTGGCTTCAGAACTCGAATTTCCACCTTCTTTTGCAAAACCAACGATATGTAATTATTTGTGTGTATTATATTGACTGAATGGACTACATTCTGCTTCAAGGTAATTGCATGTAAATGGACCTTTTCATTTTATGTTTTCTTGTCTTATGTATCTTAGCACGTGGATACATTCAAATTTTGGACGAAACCAATTTTCAATGACTCATTCAAATTCAAAACCAGACTTTAAACCTAAGCATGTATATTACCCAATCAAATTTCACAGCAGTGATTTGATATTTTCCTTTACATCATTAATTAAAGTTAGAATTGTAAATCATCTTGCTCATTCATATGATTCATTCATCTTGAACAGACCTTGTCTTGAAAATTTGGGGAAATTTTCATGCAAAAACTGGGCTAAAGAATTATTTTTAATGGCTATTCATTAACCAACCTTGTTTATGTATCAATATTGCGATTGCAATAGTTATTAAGCTTAGTTACTTTATATAATTATAATAATAGTCCAAATGAAAGGGAAAAATGATACTTTGGGTCCCCAATATTTGGAAATTGAACAATTTCTGTTCCTAAAAATTCATTGGGAATACATTTTGTCCCTATGATTCCAATCTACAATCACTTTATTATAGCAAATCAACCAATTTGGATGGAAATTTTTTTGACAAATAGCTCATTTAGTCCTTTCACTTGTTATGCTAAGTGTTTTTAGTCCATGATGTTTTAATCCCATTTAGTCTTTTTACTTTTTCTCTCGCCCAAAAAATAGTTCTTATTTCACTTCCTTCCATCACCAATTACACCGGTATTAAAAGGGTGTGACCAAAATTTTCAACTTTCTCTTTAAGAAAAAAAAATCTTTACTTTCTTCTCATTTTTAAATTTATTTTTTTAAGCAAGAAAATGTGGGATGGAAGAAGGGGGAATTTTAACTCAATACTTCTAATTCCTGAGTTTTGATTTTAACCACTAGACAATGCCTTCGGCAAACTTCTTCTTATTTGTTTTTGTTTTCTTTTTCATATAATTTCTTCCTTTTCTTTTTTACTTTCTTCAACTATTTTCACTATTTTTCTTTTCATATAATTTATTCTTTTTCACTAATCCTCTATGCCTCTCTCTCTCTCTCTCCCCCCCCCATTTAATACATTTACTTTTTTTTTTAAAACACCAAAACTTCCTTGACTAGAAAAATTTTTGCACCATCAAATTAGGCTGCTTTAATGGGCATGACAAGGGGTCCAACCATTCGTTCTTTGTTAAAATGTCTTTTTACATAAAATATAAAGAAAATGGACAAGTAGACAAAGGTAAAAGGGAGAAAAAGAAATAAAATAATAATTAATATAAAGGGGAACTTTTGTCCTAAAACATAAATTAGGGGAGCAAAGTGCCTATTTATTGAATTGAGGGGTAAAGCATAATTAAGGGTAAAGTTTAGGAGAGTTTAATGCTTTTAACCCTTCATTTTACCTTATCGTAAGCTTATAATAGGCATTGTATCGCGGAGCCAAATAATGTTTTGGTATGTATCAATGAAATCAAAAACAGTTTTATACGTGATTATATTTGGCTAAATATTTTTGTTGTTACATGAATTTCCAATTAGACCTCTTTTCAGTATGCATATACTGCATTTAGCTAGACACGAATTCCGTAGAGAAGTTCACATCAATGTGGGATATGATACCTTTCCGTGGTGTAAACAACCTAACATATTTTGGATTTGGGATAATTTCAGATACCTCCCTCGATGTATCTGATAATTACACTTAAATGCCCTCTAAAATTAAAAATTATGCTCACCTCCCTTTCATGGACACATTTGATAAATATTGCAGCCTTTATCATTAAAAGAAAGTTAAAAAAAAAGTAGGAAAATGTATTGACACATAAATTTTTGTCAACTTTAGCCTCTTTATATTTTGAACGAAACATTTACCATGTTGCTTATAAAAATTAATTAAAAAAGAGAAAAAAGATATAGAAAGCAGTAGGGATCCTCTCAATATAACAAAGAGTACATATACAATTCTGCACTTTTGACCGTTAAATGTAAGAAGAGCTGGATATGATGCAATGGCTCTATCTTGGTAGCTCATAAGCTAGATAAAGTGTAAAAATGCATGCTATTTTCAACTCTTGACATTCTTCTTCTCTATGGCAGTTAAGGAATAATAAAATCAATTTTGCTTCTCATGATAACATTTGAGAAATGACATAATCAAATTTTCTTTTGCAGATGCTCGTGCCAAAAAACAAATAAAAAATATTGTTGTTGTAGGCAATTTTTTTCTCACATTTTTGCAATAATATCAGTCACAACATTTTGAGGGTAAGTTGGTCATTAGGAGGCTTTTGGTGCTGACATGTTGTCAAATCCATCACAGAGGGGAGGTAAGTGTAATTTTGAATTTTAGAGGGTATTTAAGTGCAATTGTTAGAAACTTCAAGAGATGTATCTGAAATTATCCCTTTGGATTTAGCAACGCTTTTTCTTGTTCTTCAAAGGGGGCGAGATTTTGCAACACTTCGAATACCTGTTACAAGCGCTCCAAAGGTTTTTCTACTGAACAATTAAAATTTAAAGTATGGTATAGAGAGTTCATCCAGTCCGTGGAGATGCATGATGCATTCTTTTAATCTAACAGAGTTCATCTTTCCTGTATCCAAATGTAAAAGAAAAAACAAATGTACTTCATATATTGATTATAACTTTAGGGTACAAAATTAAGAAAAAATGCAGTGACCATAAATTGCATTTGCCTGTACCACAAAAAATGCCAATTTATTACACTTCATCGAACTATTGTGCTAACAAAGGGGTCCAAATAATGTATGATTTAAGTAAGGAGATCGAAGTGTAAATGAAGGACCCAATTATTCATGCATCCTGAAGCTCCTGTGGAGAGTATTACCCATATTACGGGTAGTAGTGGTTATCCCACCAAAATTGTGACTGAAGATATTTGATGACATTCTTGTCAACCTGGAATGCTTTGGTGAGAACATCAGGAGAAATGGGAGGGTTTGATCCAAAAACAGCATTAGCAATGGTGATCACTCCTGGATTCTGGCTGCTTAGAGCAGCAAAAGCAACAGCATTGGTGTGTCCTTGGTTGAACTGAAAATGAATGAGGCCTTCAGGGAACACAAACACATCTCCTGGATTCAAAACCTTGGTGAAGAGCTTATTCTTCATGTTCATGCCTGGATTCGAAGTAACGAAACCAACAAGAAGAGTGCCCTCTAAAACAACGAGGATCTCGGTAGCACGAGGGTGAGTGTGGGGAGGGTTCAAACCATAAGGTGCAAAGTCGAGGCGTGCTAAGGAAACACCTAAAGTGTTGAGTCCTGGAATCTGGTTCACATTAACTGCTGTTACATTGGACCCGAGTGGATTTGCTGTGCTTCCAGGCTTGTTAAGCCCTGGAAAGAAGAAATCTTCGGGTTTAACGAGCTTTGGATCCTTGCATATCTTTCCATTGACAAATACTGCATTAGCCAAGATCAAAAAAAGTTAGCATGCCTCGTATTAACTAGTACCTTAGTGAAGCATAACATGCAACATTGTAATACTGTTAAATAAGACAGTCATGAGATTTTTCATGGTAATAGAGAGTTTACCGCCGGCATTGGCATCAGGAACTGCAACACAGAAATCCTG